CCACTTACTTCCCAGCTCCACCCTCCACCAGGATAACCCTTCACATCTGCCAAGTCCCTTCAGAAAATATCTTCCATTGTCCAACCCATGATCTGACAGCTTGTATCTTAAGCTTTCTTGGCTTCTGTGATTCCAAACACGTCAACTGCTGAAGTTCTTATTGAAAGGACCAAGTGAGTGGCTTCTTTTGACAACTAGAGCTGAGAAATATGTAAATGCCTGAGTAATTACAGTGAGTCCCATAAACAGAAGAGAAGGGCAGGCTGCAGAGGGAGGGGTGTGAAAGAGTGAGCAATGGGGAGCGGAGAACAGCACGAGTCTGTCTGTCTGTCTGTCTGTCGGGTGCTGTGTCTCCCATGCTTGCCTCTGGCGGCACTTCCTCACCTACCTCTGAGTAAACTCCTGTGAGCACCTAGGATGGTTTGGGTGTATTTCTCTTACTTGTGACTGTTCTATTGCTTATGTAGACAAAAACAGCCATATAAAGAAACAGGGTCTCCAAAAATGAAAGAAGAGTTGCAGTGACCTACTGCATAGTGTGGGATTGCTCCACGGGACAGTGTGTGATCATGTGACCAGACCTTCCGTGACAGAGGCCATCAAGTAACCGAGTCCCATAGTAACTGAGTGATCGAGTAACTGAATCCCGTAGCTGAACACTCAGCTGGGCAGTGGCTGCGATGTGTGTACCTGCTGTTTCATGTATCATTAGCGACCACGTCCTCATCTTTGTATACAGAGAGGCTTAGGTTACACAAGCTGCCCAGGCTCGGCTCTTATGTGGCAGAGCCTGGATTCCATTGAAGTCACAATGGCTCCAGTCCCTTCACATTTGACTGTTTTTTTAAAAATTGTGGTTGTGGTACAACCTCTCTCTTTTTTTTAATATAAAGCCTTGTGTTTATGGCAGATTGTTTTGACTTCCCACATGCCGGGCTTCTGTGGCTCTGCAGGCCTAGTTGGGTTAGGCTCTGAGGGTAAGGCAGGGTTCAGGTTTTGATTCCCTGGTTTTATATTTGTCTTCTCCAGAAATGTGGACCTGCGGGAGTACTTGTCTGAGGAAGTACAGGCAGTACACAAGAACACCACCTACGACCTTATTGCCAACATCGTGCATGACGGCAAGCCCTCTGAGGGTTCCTACCGCATTCACGTACTCCACCACGTGAGTGGCTGCATCCTTGTATGTGGGGGGGGGGTGGCACCCCCAAGGGCAGGCCCCTGAAGTGTGCCCTTCCCTGGCTTTACTTTTGGGACTGTATAGCCTGTTAGAGCTGCCTGTGGTTGGGGCAGGTCCTAGGCTGGGCTCACCTGGGGAGCTTTTAAATTACTTCTACTTGGTTACCACCACAGGCTGCTTTCATGAAAACACTGGTTTTTAAGCAAAGTAGAAGTCAGGGCTGCTGAGTATCTGGCAGTTCAATGGACAGTGCCCCACAACGGAGAGTGGGCAGTGTTGAGGCTGATTGTGTAAGCATGTCTGGAGGATTAGGATGTTGTGATATTTTCACATTTCCTTGAGGATTCTGATGAGCAGCCAGGCCTGGGGGTCACTCTTCTGGACTAGAGCTTCCCCCTCGGCATGGGAACCAAGCCCAGCACGCCAGCAGCATCCCGGAGCTCATAGGAGATGCATAGTCCCACCAGATTCTGGCAAATAATGAAAAATACACCACATCTTAACAAGGTTTTCTAATTTGTAGGAAACTAGTTTGTGAAACTTTGGAAGTAAGTTCCATTCATCTAAACCCTTTGTGTTTCTCTCAAGCTGAAAAATCCAAAAATATGCTCTTGAGATGTGTGTGTACCCTGATGACTGTAATGTGATTAGACGTGTGGGACTTTAGTAGCATGGGCGAGGTAGTTTTTGCTGTTTGGCTGGGGTTTATGGGCCAGTAGGAACAAGTTAGAAGGGTGGAAGTCCCTCCCAAGGACCTTTTTCTTTATCAGTTTCTTTTGTTCTCTGGATTTGAGTGAGAAGTTGTCCACAGAGGTTCTTCCAGTTGGCACTGTCAAGGGAGTATGTGTGGCCTGTTATTTCTGAGTGTGAAGGAAACATCTGAGTGAGGACTAGAGGGATTCGAGACCTCATGGAATGGAGTCCAAACACCCAGCACTAACTGGGATGATGCCTGTCAGAGGCCATGCACTTTGTTTCTTTCTTTTTTTTTTGCCATGCACTTTTTACTTGTGACTCTTGCTGGGTGACAGTTTAGTGGCTTGCTTCTGATTTTTCTAACTTTGGCTGCAGTTACCTCCTTCACTCTTGGTTGTAGGGAAATGATTAACCCAGCCCTTCATACTTCTTGCAGGGAACGGGCAAATGGTATGAGCTGCAGGACCTCCAGGTGACTGACATCCTCCCCCAGATGATCACGCTGTCGGAGGCGTACATTCAGGTGAGTTGTGTGCAGGTTGTTACAGAGGTTCACACCGAACAGGCCTTGTCAGAGGTGAGGTGTTGGACCAGTGAAGGGAAAGCTGTGGGAGAAGACTAGAAGTGGGGTTGAGTTTGGATTGATTGGACCCACCTTAGCGAGAGGGGTAGGTAGGTGGCTGCTAAGATACACTGAGGAGTGGATGAGGCCAGGCCACAGGGCTAGGAAGGATAAAAAGGTCATGAGAAGAGCAGGGACGCTGGGGAGCTGTGTGCGTGAAGAGGAAGGTTGTGCTGAGGCTGAGTGGTCAGTCACTGGGGACCTAGTTGTAACTAGCCTGCGGTTTCCTTGGTGACCCGCTACACTTTGCACAAGCCTTTCTCGGAGTATTGACCCAATTTCTTGACCTTTTGTGTCCTCCACTGGACATGAGGTCAGGGAGGACAGGATCACTGTCTTCTCTTTCTCTAATTGCCTTGTTAGCTGGGAGAAGAAGGAAGATTGAGATAGGAAAACAATAGCTCTGAAAGAGACTCTTCCCTTTCCAGAGAGAAATCCTCTTCAGTGGTTTGCAATTGAAGGGTGGCCATGAACCTCTTCTTTTCACAGGAAACTTCAGAAAGGGAGCTTGTAATGGAGGGTGAGGGAGAATGGCAAATGAATAAAAGGCATTTTCTGGAAAGTTATTTGTCATTGCTACGGGACTTAGCAGATAAGTAAGTGGGGTAGAGTTGTCTGTTGCTTGGTTCGGAAGAGATCTGATAAATCGATCAGATTGTTTACTGAATGTCTCCTAAGCCAGCTTCCAAGTGCCTGTTGTGTTCATTTCTTACAGATTTGGAAAAGGCGAGATAATGATGAAACCAATCAGCAGGGGGCTTGAAGGACGAGTGCAGGAGCCTGCTCCCGGGTGCCTCTCTGGAAGGCAGGCTATAAGGAGGCAGATGCTGCAGTCCCCCTGGAGCACACGCTTCCTGTGGCAGCTGGCTCCCTCAGGACACCACAGGCCTACCGTCCTGGGGCACCAGTGCTGCCTCTCAGTCGATTGTGGATCAATTTATTGTCAATTGATTCCCTACTCTCCTTCTTCTGTAGCTTCCTTCTACCTTCAGCAGACCAGAGCTCTTACAAATGTGTGTAATTTATTCTGAATAGCTGGGAGTACCTGAGGGACAAGCAGCAGACATCAGGATTCTAGGAGTATGAGCTTAAAGCTTGTAGCCTCTTTCTCCCATCTTCCATAGGTAGGTCATTTCCCTCTGGGTTTCTTTATTTCTTTGTGTTTTTGGAATGAATTAAATATTTTTCTGTTTTTAATCTACCTTTTCATTCTTTACCCCTTAGACAACTTAAGGAAAGAAGTGTGTGTGTGTGTGTGTGTTAGAGAGAGGGACAATATATACAGCCATATATACATACATTCACAATTTATTCATAAACAGCTGAGTGACACTGATTATATTGTGTCTCTAATCTTGTTATCTACTCTTACAGTTTCATCACCATTAAACTATGCCTTTAAAGTTCCATCTGTGGTTTTACATTTTAAATGCATAGCATGTAGCTAGTCCTCTTCATGAGTACCATGCTCAAGGCAGACAGGCTTCAATTGGGCTAAAAACTACTGTTTAGTGGGAAAGATTCCTTTCTTTAAATCCTCACACATGCTATGTTCCCATGTCATTTGGTGGACATAGTGCATTTTTCTTGTCAGTTTTTGAGTTGTAGTGCAGTTAGGATGCATTTATCTCTCTTGTTGCTGTTATGTGCCATAGAGTCACCTGCAACTCATGGCAACTCTGTGTACAACAGCTCTGAAGCCTGCCCTGTCCTGAGCCAGTCCCACTGACTCTGACACACATAGTCCTGTTGCCCCAGTTACTGTCTCCATCTCATCTGGGGTCTTCCTCTTCTGTGCTGTTCCCTCCACCCTTCCAAGCATCATGTCCACCAAACACTGGCCCCTCCTAGCCATTTGCTTAAAGTATGTGTGACGGAGCTTCAAAATCCTAGCCTCCAAGGAGAAAATTGTTTTCACCTTCTCCAAGACAGACTTATTTTCTTGGCAGTCCATGATATGTTGAAGACTCTTCTCCAGCACCACAACTTAAAGACATCAGTTCTTCATCTGTCATTCTTAGTCATTGTCTACTTTTCTGATGCATAACAAGTAATTACGAAGACCATGGCCTGTATCATGTGCACCTTAGTTTCTGGACTGACATCGTTGCTTCTCGGTACTTTGGAAAGGATCCTAACAGCAGATTCACCTAATGCAATTTGTCTTTTGATTTCCTGATTGCTGGTGCCAAGAGTGTTGATTGTGGAGCTGAGCAAGCTGTAACTGTTAACAACCGTAGACTCTTTTTTCATCGTAGTGGTGCCAGTGGGCCCAGTGGTGAGAATCTTTGTCTTTTTGTTGTTGAGCTTCAATCCATATTGAAGACACAGTCCTTGACCTGTTGCAGCAAGTGCTTCAGGTCCTTCTCAGTTTCAGCAAGCAAGGTTGTGTCATCTGCATAACGTAGGGTATATTTCTAGGTAATATAATATATTACTAAAGTGATAAATTATTATTGTTGGAAGTCTGGACATGGCAAGGTGAGTTGTAATGCAGCTCAGAAACCTGTGTAAGGACCAAATGGAGAAGGAAGTGTGAATAGGAAGAGCTGGCTGTAATCTGACAATGACTGAGCCAGGCTTCAGGCTCCGGGTGCCCCAGGGCGAGGACTGGCTCTAGTCAGGCTCAGTCAGGCCTGGACTGGAGGGGTTAGTACCCTTTGTGTTGTCGCTGGTTACTCTGAAGAGGAGGAAGCTGAAGGCAGGCAGTCGGCACTGCCCCCCACTCCAGGTTGTCTAGAAAGGAGATCGGAGCAATGCTCCTCTGTGACTGACACTGTAGGTTTCTAGGACAACGCTTCTAGTTACCCCATATTTCCTTTGCAGACTCATCATCTTCCTTTAATCCTTAAGAATTAGGGTTCTTTAAGACTCAGTCCCGAGGCTTCTCTTCTCACTGTGTACTTTTCCCATTGGCCATTTCAAGTATGTTTGTAGTTGCAGTTGTCATCTTTAGGATGGGAAGATAAATTTATAAACAAGTTTAATCCTCTACTTTTCTGAGTTCTAAGCGGCTGAAATTTGGTGGTGTTCAAAATTGACCTCCAACATTTCCACCTTCCATCCAGTTACTAAGCTTCCTCTGTCTAATCTATTAAGTCCTGTCAGTTTTACTTTTTAGGTATTTCTTGAATGTTCCCACTTTGTTCTGTTCTTTTGATTTGTCTAAGCCATGGCTTTTAACAATGCATTTGCAGTATCTTGGGATGAACCCATGTCCTGTCAGCATAGAGCAACCATAGAGACATTTGCCAGAGGAAGTTCAGTTTTAAGAAATATTAAATACATCAGGGAGTTGGAGTAACAGTGACTGGGTCAAATGAACGCCCCAAAATGTAGTAACAGCAGCTAACAGGAACAGCCACTGGCCGTAGGACTACGGAGAGACCTGTCTGAGGCAGACATCCAGATCCAGACCTTGGTGGAGATCTGCCCTCAGGAACTTGCCAGAATGTGCTCTTGTGGGCTGGAGAGCAGTTCACAGGAGTGTCTCATGGATGTACTCTTTTTACATAGCTGCCTGAGGAGAGTGCCCCAGGGGGGTGACTGCGGGGACTCTAGCAACCAGGCACCAAAGGTTGAGAGAAAGCAGCCTGGTCTGTGTTGCTTTCAAGGGAGTAAATGATTCCTGGAACCAAACTTTTCTTCCTATAGTGCATCTCCAGCACCCTGCTTTGTACAGCATAATTCCAGCTGCCTAGGGAAATTAGAAAGGACTCAGGGTCATTTTTTACAGAGCAGGTAAAAGTAAATTTGGCCTGCCACCACGTGATGCCACAGAACCAGAACCATTGTTTTGGCAGTGGTGTTGGGAGGGAGGTACAGCAGGCACTACCAGGAAGGGCTGAGTGCGTGTTGGGAAGTGGTGCTAGCAGCAGGAACCACCAGGAACAGCGGGAGCCACTGGGGCTGGCTGACTGTGTATTGGAAATTGGTGGTAGGAGCAGCAGGACAAGTCGGCCTCACAGTAAACTCACCCCAAGAGTAGCTGCTGGAAATGAGGCTGAGGTTGGGTGGGTGATGGTCAACACTGATCAGAAACACAGTGGTGCTCAAGGGGTACATAGAATGGGGCAGCTGTACTCTTGAGGCCAGAAAATGGTGGTGACCAAGATATGGAAGTCCTGGTTGACAAGCCTGTGGGCAGGACTGAGAGAAAGGCCAGCACGTATGCAAGATCTACTGCATAAGAAGTACCCATGTTTGAATTCTAACCTCAGAGGGAGCCCTGAACGTACACGGAAGAATGTGGACTACCTTCCCTTATTGCAGAACTGGGCTTACTAGTGAGCAAGACATGAAGGAAGGCTGGCTGATGAAGACTGAAGCATGGCACAAACCAGCTGTTGGCGCCCTGGAGCGTGTAAATGAATTGGAGCCTGGGACATGGACGTGTGTGGAACCAGCATATGTAGACATCACACATCGAAGCCAGGAACTTAGCAAGGATTGCAAGGCAGAAACAATTGGGGATGTGTGAGCGCTTGGGCATCAATTGAAGCAAAGACGGCTGTCCACGTGTGCATACAAAGTGGTTGCTCTCCAGTATTGGGGGTGGGAAGGAGGCCTGCTGAAGCAAGTGGATGGAGAATGTTAACAGGTAAGAGAATGTTGTTGTTAAGTGCCGTCGAGTTGCAGGCAACTCATAGCGACCCTATGAAGGAGAGTCCTTGGCCCTTGGGTGCCTTTCATCCTCTCTCCAGATTCATAGGGTTTCCAGAGGCAAGCTATTATGGAAGTGGATGCCACTCCTGTTTCCAAAGGTAAGAGAATAGGCTGTTTATAAATTTCACAGGCAGCCGTTATCTCTGGGAAATGGGTGGATCTGACAGACCATATTAGCATAGAAGAAGACAGTAGGATGACGGGAGATGGGATTCAGTGAAAGGAACGTTGGCGATGACTCAAACCACCCTCTCCCTTTGGAACTGTCTGTAAAACAGTGGTCACCAGGAAGGCCAGCAGTTCCACTTCTGAGTGACAGGTCATTTGGGACACAGCCTTTCCATGTCATTCTTCAGGCAACATTCGATCTCATTAATCCTGATGCCCTTTACAATTGTGAACAAATAGATTGTGTGATATGAAGCCATGTGTTCAGGATCCTGCTCATCTGATACAGTGTGCTATGTAGGTGGCTTACAGCTCCTGTCTGTCAATTGTGTTCTGATTTGTTCCCTTAAATATTACAGACTACCAAAGACTTGTTGCTTTAGATAGATCTGCTGTCAAGGGCCTCTCTAAAGTGTCAGTCTAAGGACTGAAGTGCAGTTGATTCAAGCTAGGGTATTTTTCATTGTTTCCTATGCATCTGCAAGTTGGACAATGAGTAAGGGTGACAGACAAATCAATGCCTTTGAGTTACGGTGTTGGAGAAGAGTATATCTCATAAATTGCCAAAAGAACAAACAAATCTGTCTTGGAGAAAGTTCATCCAGGGGCTTCTTGGAGGCAAGGATGATGTACTTTGGGCATATTGTCAGGAGGAGCTAGTCCTTGGAAAAGGACATAATTCTTGAAAAAAAAAATTGAAAAAGAAGACCCTCAGAGAAATGAGTTGTGATGATGGACGTGAGCACAACAGAGACTGTGGATGGTGAGGGTAGGACAGGCCTTTGGTCTGCTGAGCGATGTGGATGGTGCAGATAGGACAAGCCTTTGGTCTTCCGAATGATGTGGATGGTGCCAGTAGGACAAG